CATTTAATGATAAAAGAATTTATAATATTAATTTATTTTTTTAATATAAGTTTAATGCATTACTTTATAATATGTTCAATAATTTTTCAATACAATTTTTAATATATTATAATTAATTAATTTAAATTAATATAGATATTACTCATTAATCATAAAAATAAAAATGTTTGGAAAATATATTAAATTTTATAATAAAAATTTTTACAAATAATTATAATAAAAACTTTTAAAGATTATTTTATAATAATTTAATTATCATGTTAATTCTTGTTAGATTTAATTATATTTGTTTAACTATTTTACTAATCAAAATAATTTAAACATAACAAAGGTACAAAAAATTCCGCTAGGTGCATTTCGAATCATCTGATATATACATATGTATACAATAAATCGTCTGTTTTGTGTATAGCATATGTCATAGTTATAAGTTATACTAAAAATTAACAAATTTTTAAAAAAATTCTATCATTCGTAGAACTTCGGAAGAGTGTTACAACAAATATATAAATATGGTAAAAAAAACTACATAATGAAATAAAAAATAATGATCAAATATTTTTTATTCAATAAATTCTTTAATAAAGCAAGGTTAAGTTATGCTGATTAAAATGACTTTTCATTTTCAGTTTGGATTTAACATGTTTCCGGAGATTGTAAGACCTTTCAACAATCATTATAGATGTTTTTCTGTATCAATGTTACCGGGTACATATCGACGAGATGTAGAACGTGGAGGAAAAAGTACATATACCCATAAAATTTATTATAATTTATGCACAAATAATAAGTAAAAGATTATAAATTATTGTTTTTAGTAATCATGCCACCTTCAGCTTTAGAACACCTTACAAGATTAAACATTAGATTTCCTATGCTATTTAAATTAAGTAACGAAAAAACAAATAGAATTACTCATTGTGGTGTTTTAGAATTTGTTGCAGATGAAGGAAGAGTTTATTTACCTTGTTGGGTAGGTTTCAATTTTAAATATTTTATTATTGATTGTAAACATTATATATATAATATAATTCAATATGCTTTTAAAAAAATGTGTTTACAGATGATGTATAATCTTTTATTACAAGAAGGAGATCTAATAAATGTTGAAAGTGTAAATTTACCTGTTGCAACATTTTCTCGTTTTCAACCTCAATCTGAAGATTTTTTAGATATTACAAATCCTAAAGCTGTTTTAGAAAATGGATTAAGAAATTTTGCTTGTCTCACAACAGGTGATATTATTGCCATAAAATATAATCAAAGAATATATGAAATGTGTGTTTTGGAAACAAGACCTGGTCCAGCAGTTACTATCATAGAATGTGATATGAATGTTGAATTTGCTCCTCCACTGGGATATGTAGAAAAAGAAACTAAGAAGGATGAAAATGTAGTAGATCCTGCAGATTTAATGCCAGCCCCATCTGGTTTTGTACCATTCAAAGGAGAGGGTAATAGATTGGATGGCAAAAAACGTAGAGATTTTGCAAAACCAGAAGTAACTACAAATAAACCAGCTTATGTTAGAGGAATACCAGATTATGATTACAAAATAGGAACACTTACATTCTTGCGTATTATTAAGCCTGTAAATAATAAAGAGGTATGTTGAAAAATTTTTTAATAATATTTTTTAATACTTTTTATTATACAATATATATTTTTATAGGCAAAAGATCAAGATGAATTTAAAGCATTCACTGGTGAAGGTTTTTCTCTTAGAAAGTCAAAATAATTAAATAATTAGTGATTTATTTATTTTCATACAATTACATGTATTTGTAAAAGTGAGTATTTATATTTGTAATTAAACTGTTGTACTTTTTAACAAACAATTTTATTTAAGTTCTTCAATCATTATATTACTTATAAGAATTTTTATTTAATATATATTATTTTCTTATTTAATATATATTTAATATATGTATATAAATTTTTTATTTAAATTCATATTTTTAATTTATATCATAGGATGATTTATTTTTTAATCTATTTTATAATTCTATATTTAACTTAACAATTTTAGATATGAGATTAAGAAGTTTTCACTTATATTATAAAAATAATTAATATATAATATTTATCACAAATTATAGGCTTGCAATAAGAAATTTAATCTATCAATGGACCCCAGAAATATTTACTGGGTTTTGTAGGATCTTCTGTTAAGAAAAATTCACGACCCAATATTATAAATTCTTTGGAACTAATTTTACCATCATCATTAATATCAATATGATTGAAGGAGATAACTGCATCCTATAATAAATATTTATTTTCATTATTTTTTTTTATATTAATTATTATAGAAAAATATATAATCTTACTTACATCATGTGTAAGTCCTAAACATTGAAAAAATAACTTATATTCTTGTATAGAAATTTCACCATTATGGTCTTTATCTACTGCCTGCAATTTTTTTTAGATAATATATTTAAAATATTTTTTAACATTATTGTTTTATATAAAAATATATTTTTGAAAACATACTTTGAATAAAAATGGCAAAAAATGATGACATTTTTTTTTCAATGATGAATCATTAAGAACATGTTGCATTTTTTCCAGATATTTTTCAACACAAATAAGATTATATGGACTAATTTCTCCCCATTGTTCTTCCCACATTTTCTATATATAATATATAATATAATAATATAATTTTATTATTTTATATATTTTTTAAGAATTGATATTCTATTTTTATGTATAAAATATATATATATAAGACTGACTTACATTTAATACTTTTTTGAATTCAACTTTAGCTTCTAAATTCAAATGTCCTAAGTCGCAAAATCTTTTTCTAAACAACATAAAATCATCATAACTAATAATACCATCTTTATTAACATCCAAATGATTATGTAATGTTCGCATTTTTCTTCTCCAAAAAATTGATTGTCCCTAATAAATAAAAATTAAAAAAAAATAATAATTATTGGTTTAATAGATTATATAAAAAAATACGCATTGAATATGAATTTATTTCGAAATTTTTTAAATTAATTATATTTAAATGATAATTAAATTTCAAAAAATAATAAACAACAAATAATTTTTAAAAAATATAACATTTTTATGATTTATAAATAAATTATTTTTATGATTTAAAAATAAATAAATATTAAAATATATTAAATAATAAAAAAAGTTTTACCCTTTCTTGTTCATTGTCTGAATCGTTATCAATTATTTCTTCATTTAAAGAGATTGAAGTACTTATTTGATGCACATTTTTTGTATTATACGTTTCCGGAACATATTTATGATACTAAAAATAAAATAATTAAAATACATATAATAAAAATATATATTTATTTTTACGAAAATTTTAATCGACCAAATTATATCATAATATTACATTGCAGCACATATTAGAATCGTAAATATAATTGGAATATATTATATGTAATTCAATATGTTTAATACAATATAAAATCAATAATAGATTAATAATAGATAAATTTAGATAGAATAATAGATAAATCGAAATGTTAAATTCATTTATATAAAATTATAATAATATATAAAATAATAAATATATAAAATTTACTTTTTAATATTTTTTTTTTATTTTTATTTAATTTTATTTAATAAATATATAAAATAATAAATATATAAAAATTACAATGAATTAAAAAAATATTTAATTCTATAAATGAACAATTTTAATAAAATTATAAAATTTTTCAAAGATCGATATTTTTTACAGATATAGACTTAAATCAATTATTAATAATTTATTACAATAGAAATACATATTAATTAAAATAAAATAATATGTTTTTATATTCTTTTTTGTTTTATTTTTTTTCTTTATATTTTTTTATGTATATATAAAAGATATTATACATTTATATTTTGTATTTGAAAGAATATAAGAAGAGATAATAAATTTTAAATTTTGCTTTCTATAAAAATCTCAAAAAATAAAAAAAAGAAAAAGAGACAAACAATTGGCTGGAACTTATATAGAAGATTAGGATAGTTTCAGTTATCTCTATATAAGAATACTTTCCGTATTTCATAATTCATAAAATAAATACAAATATATTTTTCATTTTAATAATTTAAATTTATTATTAATATAAATATTTTTTTTAATTATAATTAATTAATAATAATTAATTAAAAAGATTTATTATATATTAGATTTTATTTTATATAATATAAAAAATAAATTACCTGTTTATAGTATGATTGAATGGTATTTTGTTTTTGTGGTATTTTACAATATAAAAGAGCTATTTTTTCAAAACACTTATTAGAAATTACAAATCTTAAACCAGTTTGTAATAATATTGTTGTCATTTTAACTCAAACTATAAATTATCTTTATGCAATAAAAAGTATAACATCAACTTAAAGCCGTTTGAGAATCAGTTGTGAAGAAAGTGAAAAAGAATAGTAGGCCCTTTTTGATGGGTCGGTAGGTCTCAAATTCTCCTCTTTGTTCTTTACGCATGCGCAATAGTGTTCATCTGTTCTCCTTTTTCTTTCTATTCCTTGATTACGAGCATCGATGCACGTCCCCTTCTTTACATAGATAAAGTCATAAGCGTGACATAGATGAAATTGAAAAAAAAAATTTTTTAAATTTGATAAATATCAAAAAATATTGTATTTAAATTTCATAACATTAATAATATATAATTTAAACATTAATAATATGCTAATATTAATATTAATTTGTATTATTAATACATGATTTATATTTTTTTATAATCTTTTTGAGTATATATATAATATTTTTGAGTTTATTTCAATAAAAAATCGAATTCAAATAAATTTAATTTTTGAACAATTAAATAAATAAAAATAATTTTATAATTAGAAATATATATTTTACAATAAAATATATTATATAAAATTTGTATCTTATGCTTTAATATAAATAAATGGAAATTAATATAAATAAATAAAGATATATATGTATCAAGATTAATATTTAATAATTTTAAAATTAAGGATAGTCTTTAATAAAGAGTATTTTATTAAGTAATATATATTAATAAAATTATTCAGATTTATTTATAGTAATAAAAAATTTAAAAACATTTAATTTTTCCTTATTTTCTACGCCCATGTTTAAAATTATCAGTGTATCATAATGTGAAGAAATTTTACATTTGATTAGATTTAAAAACAAATAAAATTGTAGAACAAAAAGAGAATATAAAAATCAAATATAAATATATACAAAAAGATGAATCACCAAAATAAATCAAATTTATATGTATGCGTATAATACATAGATACACATAAATTTGAACGACGAAACGTGACGAAAAGCATGGAACGATCTAATTGATTAATATGTAAATATTATTTTTTGTAAAACAAATGTTATAAAAAAGAATGTAATTATCATTACAATCAATATTAATTATTAAATAAAATATGTGATATAATTTATATATAATATATTTATTTACATCAAGTGTATTATACAATTACACATATTTTTCATAAATGCTTAAATGTTAATGTATATAAAGTTAATATTTTATATGTATAAATTTTATATAATGTTGAATTTCATTATTATAAATAAAGAAATCTCATCATAATATATATCTTATATTTTAAGATTTTGTATATATTTTAATTTTTCTTGTATTCTATTCTTTCAACTTTTACTTCATCACCAACAAGTTGATAAACATAAGTTACAACTGTCGAACTTTGAATATCCATAAGGACAAAAGAAGGGATAACTGATCTATAAATATAATATATAAACATATATTATATAATATAATGTATAACATATAAATATAATATGTATATCAAATATTTATACATATATGAATAACATTTAAAATTTTCTTTATACTATTAACATAAAATCTTACGTGTCAAGAGGATTATATGCTCCGGTTGCTGAACCAGGATTAATATAAAATTTGTTTTCATGTTCATATGCTTCAAATTTATGTGTGTGACCTGATATCAAAATATCAACATCTAATTGTCTTTGAATTAAAGCTAATGATTCTGGATCACCCCAAGGTACTACTTGATGTCCATGTGACAAACCTATTCTAAATTGACCAACAGTGACAACTTTTTGTTCTGGATAATTTAAATTCTATAAATAAAAAAATTAATATAATATTAAAATTTAATATTTAAAAATCATTAATTATTAAAATAAATATTTAATAATATTAAATAAGATATATACCTCATCAAAATCTCCTCTAACAACATGTACATCACTGGCTAATGTTTTTAAATAATCATATGATTCTTTTGTACAAAGATTACCTGTACATAGAATATGTTGTATTCTACCAGGTACCAATAATTTTTTAAATTTACTTGGAAGACTACTACATCTGTGTGGAATATGTAAATCTCCCAATACTAAAACAAGCTATAAATATTAAATCTTTAATAAATGTAATAAAAAATTTATATAATAAATTTTATAATTGAATATATTTTAAATTTATCAATAGAAACTAATATAATTCTAAAAAATATTTAATTAAAAGATTATTTTATCTTGAGGTTAAAAATTCAAGAAATTTATACTTACAATTAAATAGTTAATTTCAATCAGTAATATTCTATTTTATTTACTTACCATGACGGATATAATAATATATATTTATGAAATTCTTATTTTTCTTAACGTTAATATTTACTTTATCGCATTTGTTAACAATAAGATTCATAAATTACTCAAACAAACTATTAGAATTGAAAGTATATTTGACAGATAAACTTTCGATTTTCGAGATTCGAGATTATGTTAATCGTCGATTATTCTTACAATGCGCTAAAATATGAACTATATATTCTTATTCTTAACATATATTTCGTTACAATTTATATAAATTTTGTGAAATGTATGTGAATTTATGTTTATTATTTATTTACAATAATTATTTAAATTTTATATAAATAAATAAATTTTAAAATTATGATTAGTTGAGCAAATGAAATTGTTTAATGTATTGTATCTTAAATTACATATAATATGAATTTCTTTTGTTATTTTTTCTAAGTAATCATTAAATTTAAACTTATTTGATGTTTAATCTATAAAAAATATTTTAATAAAAAAAAAGTTCAACATGAAGTGTGTTATACCAGGAGCAAATGTAAAAAGTATGTTATTTCATTTAGGTTATGTTTTGTTGATTTTTTATTTAAACAATATTAAAAATAAAAATAAAAATAAAATATATCAATAATCAAATATAAATATATATATTAGTTTTAGCAAAAGCTATACATGCATTATCAAAAATTGGAGAAGAAATGTACATAGAACCAAAAGAAAATGTTTTATCATTCCGTACTGTTAATATGGCAAATTCTGCATATGCAGATTTTACATTTTTTCAATGTTATTTTTCATATTATGTTTATGGCGATTTACAAGAAAATGATGCATTGAAATGTAAAATTTCAATGAGGGTAATAAGATATTATATTCTTATTATAATATAGTATAATATTATAAATTTTACATTTTACATCATACAAAACATTTTTTTGTGTTATAGAGTGCGATGACTGTATTTAAGGCTTCAAATGTAATTGACAAACAGGTAGAAACATGTCATATTAGATTAGAACCAAATGCATCTGAAATTTTGTTTATTTTAAAGTATAAAAATAGTATTACTAAAACTCATTTATTGCCCATATTAGATTGTGAAATATTACAAGTATGTATCACAAATCTTTAATAAGATTTCTTATTTTAATTTATTTTATTTATATTTTACATTATTTTATTATTATCCTTTAGACTATATATAATAAAGATTGTGCTTCAATTAAGCTTTCATCTCAACCACGAGTATTAGGAGATGCAATACAAAATTTTCATCAACATTTAATTGAAATAACACTTGAAGTTTTAACACAAAAGCTTTTATTAAGAAATTATATTGATGATAGTTCAGGTAAATTAAAATATAATAATAGAAATAATTTATTTTTATTATGGAATAAAATTAAAAAATTTATTAGGTTTATCAAATACAACACGTACACAAGTTGTACTTGGAAAGGGAGAATTTGATCAATATGATATTGGTAGTGAAACATCAATTACCTTTTGTATGAAGGAATTTAAATCTATTTTAACTTTTGCAGAAATTGCAAATATACCAATTACTATATATTTTGAAGGAGCAGGAAGGTAAAAATTAATAATATATAATGTAAAAGGTAAAAATTAATAAAATATTCATTAATATTTTTTAGACCTGTTATATTTGTATTAAAAAATCAATCATTTGAAGTAAATTTAGTATTGTCCACATTAAATTCTGATGCAGATAGTCAAACGGAAACAACAATCAATAAACAAGAAGAAAAGTTTATGAAAAAAAAAACAATAAACAAACGAGTTTCTAAGAAAAATAATAATAAATCTAATAGAATTAAAAATAAATCAATTAAATCTGATAACATATTAGGAAATATTACTCTCAAAAAACCACATTCATGTTTTATGGAAGAAGAAAAAGAACAAAATAATTCTAAAGAGCAACTTAATTTACCAGAAACAACAATAAAAGATAATCAAAATGTAAATGAAATAAATACTTCGCCAATAAAACAAAATATTCAAGAAAAATTTCAAAAGAATTCTTCATATAGTTGTGACATAATTACAAAATTTAATAAAACATCTATAAGTGAAAAGAAAATGGTAAATTCTGTATTTACAATAGCAAAAAGAAAATCTAGAAATGATGAAATTGATAAGCAAGACAATCCACATCATGATAATATTATTGCAATAGAAAATGAAATACCAAATTCGCCTCCTCCACCAACCAAAAAGGCTCGTTTGATTCTTCAAAAATGTTTTCAAACAACATTTGATCCAAGAACATTACCTGGATATGATATAGTTTTAGCCAAAGATTCAGATGAAGATTGCGAATAAAAAGATTTATTTTTATATTTAAATTTTAATCATTAGTTTTGCCCTAATTAATATAAATTTTAATTTATGTTATTATATATTTATAAATGTATCTTACAGATAAACATGTACAATGTATAAATACATGTAAATGTGTGAACACGCGCGCGCGTTAAATATAAAAAATAGAAACACATGTAAAAACGAATAATATAAATATAATAATTATTGTAATATTTAATGCAAATATAAAATTTTGATTTTTATAAAGAATTGTTTTTATTTGATACTTATATTTATAATTTAATTATATTTTTTATTGTTTAATCTTTTTTCTAAAAGAATGTATATTGTAAATAAAGGAAGTATATCTTAAAGATTGTATCTTTGTATTTAAAAATGTAATGAAATTACTTTTCATGATTATCTACGTTGATTTATTTATATTTGCGCATGTGCATAGATAATATATTATATGTATCAAGTTACGAAATTTTGACTTCGATATATATATAATTGTTAAAAATTTATTAAGAGATCATTAATTAAAAATATGAGAGCAATAACACGAATTATTATAAAATTTAGTACTGCAACAACTATAGGTTTTAGTGGTTGGTATCTGGGAAAATATTCGGAAAAAAAACGACATTTGAATACAGAAATAAGAGACAGTGAAAATATTTTTTCGA